TCCACAGAGAAAAAGGGAAAAAAAAAACAAAACTTGTCTCTCAGTTAAACTTGCCCAGTGTTTGACAACTGCATTTCTATGAGTGAAGAAATCTGTTCCTTAATAAGTCATTTCCTTATGTTGGGTCCATCATTTTCATCCTCTTGATACTTAAAATCAGGATAGTTGCCACCAGGAAGAAAAAAAAGGTGAGAGAAAGCTTTAAACCAAACTGGCTGTTCCTGGGTTCCTGACTATTCAACTCTCTCCTGTTGCTGGCTCCCACAGACCCATTGCTACAGTCTATCCCCTGATTTGGTAATACTCTTCCTTTGCTGAAAGACCTCCTCTACTTCCTTATAACCAAGAGCATATAATTCACAGAACTTAGGTTGGTAATCAAAGCCCCCTACAACCTGGCCCTGCTATACTAGTTCTACCTTACACTCTATTCAGTCTGCTCTTCTCTCTCATCCACGGCCATAATCATTCTGAACCCTTTGTTCATGCTGCTCACTCTGCCTTACATGTCATCCCTCTTTCTCTCCACCTATTCAAATTCCAAACATTTTTCAGGGTCCAGATCATGTCACACTCACAAAATCATGCCAGCACACATTGATGTTCCCTATCTGAACCATCTTGTATTACAACTGTTCTTGTACATTCTTGATCTCCCTGACTAGGCTGAAAATGTAATTGAATTTGAGGCTATCTCATTCTTTTCCTATTCCCTATCATACTGACCATAGAGGGTCCTGTACATAGTAGGCCTTCAATAAATATTTGTTAACTTGAACTTCAGAATCATTTATTGCCTATATATTTTAGAACTTTGCCATACAATATTGTTCTACCTTATTTATTTAAAATTTCACTTCTAAATATTCTATTTTAAAACATTTCATAGGCTCTTCAGCAGTGGCTCTGAGGTCAAAATGAAATTCAATCCCTTTGTGACCTCTGACCGAAGCAAGAACCGCAAGAGGCACCTCAATGCCCCTTCCCGTATACAGGGGAAAATTATGTCTTCTCCTCTTTCGAAGTAGCTGAGACAGAAGTACAATGTCCGCTACATGTCCGTTCGAAAAGATGAAGTCCAGGTTGTCTGAGGATACTACAAAGGACAGCAAATTGGCAAGGCAGTCCAGGTTTATGGAAAGAATTATGTGGGGGCAGCTAGGTGGCACAGGGGCAGCTATGTGGCGTAGTGAATAGAGCTCTGGCCTTGGAGTCAGGAGGACCTGAGTTCAAATCCAGCCTCAGACACTTAACACTTACTGTTACCCTGGGCAAGTCACTTAACCCCAATCACCTCACCAAAAAGAAAAAAAAAAGAAAGAAATATGTAATCTACATTGAGCACGTGCAGTGGGAGAAAGCTAATGGTACAACTATCCATGTGGGCATTGATCGCAGCAAGGTGGTTATCACAAGGCTAAAACTGGACAATGATCACAAAAAGATCCTTGAGCAAAAAGCCAAATCTCACCAAGTAGGAAGGAAAAGGTCAAATATAAGGAAGAAATTATTGAAAAAATGCAAGAGTAAAAAATTACATGGCTGTAATTAAATTTCTAGAATGAACAAAAAATATTTCATAGTTTTATCTTCCTATTTAGATTCTAAACTCTTAACAGATGGTATTGTGAGGGAAGGAAAAGAAGAAGAGGAAGAAAATAAAGAATCAGGAGTGAGTGAAGGAGAGGGGAGAGAAAGCAAATAGGAAGAAGGGAGGTAAAGAAAGGTGTCCTGATTCTACAGTAAACAATCAATCAAGGCTTTATTTACCAAGTTCCTACCATGTATCCAACATTGGAGATAAATGGAAGTATAACAAATAGGCCCTTCCTTCTGGGTCTTTAGAATGTAGGTGGAGAGACAAGACTAACACATACGAAACAAAGATAAAAAATACATAATATTTGGTCAAATGTTGATCATACTCATTCTTGAGTCCAGATTTTTACTCTATAACTTGTGTTCTTTCTATTATACCACATTGCCTCTCTAATAATAATTTGTGTGTGTATATATAGGTACATACATGTGTGTGCATTTATGTGTATATAGATAGACGGACAGATATAGACATATAGATGTATACATATATATTTAAAAAGTTCTTTCCTCAAAATAACCCTATAAGGTGACTGGTCAAATATTTTTATCCTATTTTAGAGAAAAAGAAACAGAGGTTGTGCAAAGTCACACAGTTTGTAAGTGGCAAAGCAAAGACTTGAACTCAGATCTTTTGATGTAAAATCCAGGGATCTTTCTACTATACTAGATTGCTACACAGAGGAACAAACATGACATGTAAAAAGAATGGAAACTAAATGAAGAGAAGGCAATTGAGGAATTGGAAGGAAATATACTTCAGCCTTGATACAGCTGGCACTGCAGCCTTCTGATCAGGGCACTGACAAGATGAAGATGTTAACATTCATGTGCTTGCTGCAGAGTCATTGTTTCCTCAAACGGTGAAAGGCACTATATAAGTGATTGTTGAAGTTGGGGTTTAGGGTTAAGAGGTGATAAGAGATTCCTAATATTATTGGGACGCAGAGACAAAGTGGTCCTATGTCCTCTTGTCAGAAAGATAAACTGATAAAGACAAAAGGAAAAATGAGAAAATTCAAAAGAAGGCCATAACACGATGAATAAATAGACATTAAATTAGGGATTCTCAACCTTTTTAGCATCACGGATCACTCTGGCAGTTTGGCTAAGCTTATCAACTCCTTCTCAGGTTAATATTTTTAAGTGCATAAAATAAAATACATGGGATTAGAAAGGAAACCAATTATGCTGAAATAGAGATATAATTTTTTCCATCCAAGTTCAAAGACCAACTGAGATTAACCCACAGACCCCATCTGTGAACCCCATGTTAAGAACCCCTGCCTTAAAGTAAAGCAAACCCGAAACCCCCAGTAAAATATTTCCTAGAGATCATGGAACAGCAGCAAGAACCTCCAAAACAGTACAACACAGAAATAAAATTTGTAAAAAAAAAAAAAAAGATATTAGAATAGATATTAGGTTAGAAATGAGAGGTTAGAATAGGATATTTCTAAAAAGAAAAGGGAGATCATGATGTGCCCCCAAATTAAAATAGCCTGTAAAGATTGGCCTAATCATCAATGGATACACATGGAACTTCAACAAAAAAGAGACATTTGAGTCATTCCTGCAAAAGAAACAAGAGGTAAGAAGAACATTCCTCCTTCAAACAATCCAAACAAAACTAAAACAGAAGCAAGGTAACTAAGTACAATTATCGAGAAAAGAAAAACTGAGCTATGAAATCAATTCTGTCTTGTTTCTACACTGTCTTTAAAAAAATATAACAAAGAGGGATCAGCAAGGGACAAAAGGTTCTAAAGCATTACAGATTTAATAGGAAATAAGGAGTCTGGCATAGTGGCAAAGATGGCCTCAGGATCAGGAAGCCCGAGCTTCAAGCCCTGTCTCCAACACATGTCAGCTATGTGTCCCTGAACAAGTCTCTTAACCTCTCAGGAGATTAACCCTAAGTTAGGTTAACCTCTCAAAAATGACAAGTTGCCTTGAAAAAGCCAATCTACACTGGTTGAAAAAGTTGCTCACCTGAAGTTCACTACACTGATGAAATCATGTGTTCAATTAAAAAAAGGGTGGGGGGAAGGAATAAGAAGAAGGTAAGAAGGAAGTAACAGATTAATGTTCTGTGAACTGAATCTCATGCTCCTCTATAAGTGAATCAGTATCTGCTGTGGGAATAAAAATACAATGGGAAGTTGTTGTTCAGTTTGTGCTGTTCAGTGACTGACTTCATGACCCCATGGATTATATCGTCCATGGGGTTTTCTTCGCAAAGATACCGGAATGGTTTGCCATTTCCTTCTGCAGTGGATTAAGGCAAACAGAGGTTAAGTGACTTGTCCAGAGTTAAATAGCTAGTAAAGGTCTGAGACTCCACCCCCTGACTGCTCTGTATACTGAGCCACCTACCTGCCTCCAACAGTGGGAAATAGTTCCAGTGAAGAGAGGGAAAGCAAAAGACACAAGAGCTGGAGAAGGGAGCAGAAAAGGAACAGTAATTTCTTTGGCCTGATAACAAGATTTAGGGGTCATGGAAGAGCAGAAAAAATAATAGAGAAAGAGAAGGACTGTATTAGGATCTGGGACAAGAAAGCTAATCTAGACAAAATGATAGAATACTGCTGAAGCACATTCATGGGTGGGGGTGAGAAGGAAAGACAGAAATCTTTTAATGGGTCTTTAGAGGACACCCCAAAAAATCACCTTCTCTAAACTAGTGATTCCCAGAAGAGAACGTGTATGAGGCCCTTGGCTATGGCCAGAGGTCGAGGTGGGGAGGCAGGGAGGAGAGACTTAACTCTACCAGGAGGACATCACTGACCTTAAGAGAGAGTGTCCATAAGCAAGAGAAAAGTTCAGTCCTCTTGATTGTGTGACTCCCACTACACCTAATTGCCTCCTTCAAGAGCCGATATTTTTAGGAGTGAGTATATCAAAAAGCCTCACAAACTACATAAAAATTCAAAACATGAAAAAAGAAATCCACTTAATCATAGAATATCTGAGTGAAACTATCTTGTAGCAGAAGAAAATATAGTAAAATAAATAGAAAATAGAAAATAAAGTAAAATACCCTAGCTAGATAAATATGGGAGATTAGATTCAATATAAGGAAGAATTTAATAATTGCTACGGCTGACCAAAAATATAATATGCTGTGTCAGAAGCAGAGGGCTCTTTGTCAGGGATATTGTAGAGGACACTGATGCACTGGGTATTAAGTAGGATCAGACAACCTCAAAGATCATTTTCAGCTCCAAGAATCTGTGAAATGTTTAGGTGAAGTTCAGGTATCTAAGGGAGTTCAAGGCAAATGGCTTCAGTTCTATCCTCAGGTATGGGACATTTAAGGAGACATACCTAATCACTACTTCCAAAATTCCACCCTTTAGTACTGTTACAGTGATTTCTACCTGCTGGGTTCTCACACTCACCTAGGCGGTGGCTTTTTGGAATTTCTTTCTTGGTCCAAGGGTCTTTTCCATGCTTCAGCTGAGAAATCACATCTAGCTTGGAAACTGGATGTCCTGCTTATAAGGTAAAAAGAAAAGATTTGAGTATTGGTGATGGAAGATAAAGAATCAGAGCAGAAATCAGTTCCATCCTATTGTTCTTGTCTACACACAGGAACACTCTACAACCCCACATCTCAGCTGTACTCTTTTGAACAAACACCTTTATATTTTATAATATTTCCTCTATGACATCATCCATTTTCTCATATTTTGTGAAACCCAGATTTTCTCTAACAGTTTAGTATCCTTCGCAGCTTTCTCCAATAGAGGCCACTCTTTCAACTCTCCATAATTCATAGCAGTAGCAGCTATGCTTTGGAGTAGACAGAGTGCTGGACTGAGAGTCAAGAAATACCTAAATTCAAATCATGCTTTAGAAATTGCGTGATCCTGGGCATATCACTTAACCCCTCTGTGCCTTAGTTTCCTCTTTTGCAAAATGTGGATAATACTAACACCAAACTCCAAGGATGACTGTAAAGATCAAATGAGATAATATATTGTAAAGCACTTTGTAAACCTTAAACTGCTTATGCATGCTAGCTATTGTGGCTATTACAGTACCAGAATTTGGCATACTTCATTGTATCAAATTTAGAGTTAGAAGGGACCTCAGTGAGCATCTAGTCTAATTCATACCCAAAAGGAATGTCCAGTATAACATACCTGACAAATGTTGATGCAGATTCTATAGACCTTCAATTTTGGGGTGGAATGCCCAGCACCTCCCTAAGACAGCCCACTTTCAAACAACTCTGATTACTAGAAATGTATTAATAATAATAATAATAACTAACATTTACATAGCAATTTAAGGTTTACAAAGCACTTTACACATTATCTCAGTTCATCTTCACAACAAACTTGTGAAGTAGGTTCCGCTATCATCTCTGTGGTAGATGAGAAAACTGTGGTAGATAATGACTTCCTTCAAGACTCAGTTCAAATCTCACTTTCTACAAGAGGTTTTCCCACCTACTCCATCTAGCGCCTTACTTCTAAGATGATCTCCTATTTACACTGTATACATCTTGTATAGCCATAGTTGTTTGCATATTGCCTACAGTTAGAACGTAAGCTCCAATAAGGGCAGGTACCATGGTTCTGCTTTTCTTGTATCCCCTTAGCATAGCACAGTGCCTGGCACATAGTAAGTGATTAACAAATGCTTGTTGATGATAATGATGAAGTTATCTGCCTAGGACCACACAGCTAGCTGTGTCTGAGGCAGGATTAAAACTTGGATCTTCCTGACTCCAAGTCCATCACACTCTCCATGGCACATGCAACTTCCTTAACAGAAGAAGTCTAATTTCTTTTCCACATAACAGCCCTTCAAATGCTTGAACATAGCTACCATGTCTTCCCTGAATTTTCTTTTTCTGGGCTAAATATCCACAGTTCCTTCATCCAATTCAGGTATAACATGGACTTAAGAAACCTTTGATATACATCCTGGTTGCTTTCCTAATGGATATTCTCCAGATTTATGATGTCTCTCTTTAATCCTAATGCCAAGTACTAAATACAGTACTCTAGGTTTGGTAGAGAGGAACTTTCATCTCCCTCCCTAATTCCTGGAGGCTATGCCTCTCCATATAGTTCAAGACTGAATTACTTTTGTTGGCTGTCACAATACATTGGTAACTTATATTGAGCTTGCAGCACACCAAAACCTGCATTTCTTTTTTCAGATAAACTGCTGTCTAAACATGCCTTCCCCATGCTATATTGGTAAACTTGATTTTCATCCTAAGTATCACTTATTTCTCCACGTTATTAGATTCAACCCAATGCAGGTCAAGATTTTTTGTATCTTGACTCTTTCATCTACTATGTTACCTATCCCAGCTTCAGGATCTTCTGTAACCCACTGATTATGCCATCTATATATTTATCCAAGCCATAATAAAAACTTTAAAAAGAAATGGGCCAAATATATATCCCTGGACACTCCACTGGAGGCTGCCAAACAAGTTAACACTGAGTTAACAATTAACAAATTCTCTTTGAATTTAGCTACACAACCTGAATTTATCTAATTGTATTGTCTAGTCCACATTTCTCGCTCCTTTCCAGTAGAATAAAATGACATAATTTATCAAATTCTTTTCTAAAATCCAGATAAACTGTATCTACAATATTTTACTTATCTATCAGTTTAGTAACCCTGTTAAAAAGGAAATCATATTAGTATGGCATGACCTATTTTCAATGAAGCCATGTTTCATTTGCAACCTTGTACTCACTGCATCCTTTTCTTTATTTTCACTAATCATCTTAATGAATCTTAATGATCCATTCTAGAATTTTCCCAGGAATCAAAGTAAAATTTAAAGGACTATAGTCTGCTAAAGAAAACTCATTTTACACCATATCTCCCACACCATCTGTGGTCCAGGATAGGTATTCCCAAGTTCTTTAAGTAATTCTTGTATGGAATAATTTTCAATTCTCTCACTATCCTGATCACCCTCCTCTGAATGTGTTCTTTTATCAAGATCCTTCCTAAAATGCAGAACTTACAAATGAACAATATTTCAGCTACGATCTGACCAAATAAAAATATAATGGAACTATGACTTCCTTTATCCTAAAAACTATGCCTGGGGGTTGCAGAGGAGTGGACAGGAGAGAAGACAAAAAAAAAAAAAAGGAAGGAAGGAAATTATCAAAATATTTTTAAAAATCACGTTCCTGGACACCTGGTTAAGAAGACCTACTCTTGTCTAACATTATTCCATGAATCATAGAGGGAAATAACCCTTACCCATTGAAGCCAGGTTCCTGTAGTTCTCCAGCATCACATCTCTATACAGACCTTTCTGAGCAGAATCAAAATGACCCCATTCATCTTGGGTGAAGCTCACAGACACATCCTTGAACATCAGTGATTCCTGAAATACCAAGTTTTTTTTTTAATTTTGCTTACTTATTTTACAAGCATTTATTACCTTTCCCTCTTACAATCAAAATGATAGAAGCAAGGAAGACAGAGAGGGAGGAAGGAAGGGAGGAAGGAAGGGAGGGAGGAAGGAAGGGAGGAAGGAAGGGAGGGAGGGAGGAAGGGAGGGAGGGAGGGAGGAAGGAAGGAAGGAAGGAGGAAGGGAGGGGAGGAAGGGAGGAAGGAACCAAAAGCAATTTTTTTTTTTACATTAGCCATGTCTAAGAATATGTGTTTATTCTGCATTTTAAGCCCCTTCCCTTCTGGACAGGAGGCAGTTGTCACGTTTAGACTACTCACTCAGACTCATGATTATCACTGCATTAATCAAGGTTCTAAGGTCTTCTGAAGTTTCCGGTGTGATCTCACGTTGCATGTATAAACTATTCCCCTGATTCTGTTACCCTTATTCTGCAGTAGTTCATGGAGTTCTCCCAAGTTAACTCTGAAACTCATTATGACAAAATAATATTCTCTAACATTTGGAGTTATTCCCCAACAGACGTGTATTCCCTTACTACTCTGTGAAGATTATAGTTCTGTACATATGAGGCCTTCAAAAACATTTTTAATCAGACTAGAACAACCATCCTGGAACCCTGACAGGGCCTTGGAGAGAGATGGCAACATTCAGTCAGTCAATAAATATTTATAAAAGACTTACTATGTGCCAAGCACTGTACTAAGAACTGGGGACACAAATGTGAAAAAAGAAAAACAGTCTTTGCCCTAAGGAGCTTTTACAACATGGTCATTTCAGGAAATCCAGCACCTACTGCTTCCCTAACCCTCCCCACCACTAACTAAAACTTCCCTTTTAACAAAGAAATGCAATTAAGCAAAACCACCACATCTGAAAATGTAAACAAAATGGTTCCCTAATAATCCCCCCTCCCTCAAACCTGTATGAAGTGAGAAGAGGGAAGTATGTTTTATTATCTGTTCTCTAGGACCATTTCTGATGTTTTCTTTACTCAGAGTTTGGAAGACAAGCCAGAATCTAATTGGAGTAAAAGTAAATTGGCAGGATTATAGGAACTGATATGCTTAATGTTTCAAGTCAAATAAAACCTTTATTTTGTTCCATACCTGGCAATAATTTAGCCTAACTCAGGCTATATTGTGAAACAACATAATATGTAAATTCTCAATCAAAGATTGTTCTGTCCTCTGCAGCCACAGCACAGTGGCTTCTAGCAGCTCTGGGACTGGGAGTGTCAGGTGAGGAGCCCAAGCTAGGATGGAGGCAATAAATAGGGTTAAGGGAGTAGACAATTTATTTGGTCTTTAAGTTTTAAATAGTAACAACATTTAAACCAAAATAAAATAAAAATCCTCATATTAGGATATTTTGTAGTAACAATGAACTGGAAACAATAGGTATATGACTGGGGAATGGTTTAAAAAATAAATATGGCATATGAATACAATATTACTGTATAGAGATGATAAATATGAAAAATTCAGAGAACCATAGGAAGATTTGTGTGAACTAATGCAAATCAAAATAGGCAAAACCAAAGTAACAACATATACAATGATTACAATAATGTAAAGGAAAAGATCACTAAAAGGAAACCAAATTCTGAGTAACTGAAACACCAGCAACAATTCTGGAGAACAGATAATGAAACATGACTCCCTCTCCTCACTACATACAGGTCTGAAGAAGGAATCATATTAGGAACCATATTGTTTACATTTTCAGATGTACTAGTTTTGCTTAATTGCTTTTCTTTGTTACAATGGAAGTTTTAGTGGAGGATAAAGGAGGGGGTAGGTACAGGATTTCCAGAAATGACTGTGATGTAAAAACAAAAGACACCAATAAAACATTTTTTAAAAAAAGGAAGTAAGTACTTTTAGTAAGAAAAGATTTTTGAATTGGTAAATACATGCCAAGACTGACAATTAGAAAATGCTATTCTAGACTATGTGGGATATATCAAGTAGGACATATCAAAGAAGTATAAGACGTGAACTATATCCTTGTAAAGCATGCAATTTTGCTCAGTTGGAAAACACAGCCATGACAAAATTTAGAAAATAATATAAGGCAGAATATTGTCAAGTCCTAAGTTATATGGTAAGTACATAGAATAGAGTTGTTTGTCCTTCGTTTTTGAAGAGGACCAATGACATCACAGAGTGATGTCTTGACATACTTGTCAACTGGATTTAAGTGAGGCAGAGTTGCACAAAGTTTTCTGCCTCACTCTATCTTCCAGAGTGACTGAAGTTCAGTGGCAAGACAAAAGTCAAGATGGCTGGCTATGGCCTAGGACGCAGTAGATGTCCAAGGTCTAAGCACTCCACAGTGCCTGCTTCAGCCTCCTTCATGGCCATTAGAACAAACTGTTCTCATCCACCCATTCCACCAGGGGAAAGTCTTCATATGCTCGAGGGAGACATTCCCCAATTCATTGATGGATTTTAGACCTGTTGCTTACCCTTAACGTAGTTTAGCCTGTCTGCCAAGACAGTTTTCCCAGTAAGTGGCTGCTGCACATGCTACCATTTCTTGTGCCACAGGTGAGAGCTGGGTGACAGCTGGACACCAAAGGCGGATGTGCATCCCTGAAAAGGGCTTAGCAAGCCCTCATACCAGAGGTGCTAGTCCTCTCTGAACACCCCATAGTATGGAGTATTTCATAGATGAAGAGATCGGGAGAGGGTAGGGTAGGAGGGAAGACACGCCAAAAGAATTACAGATCCTGAGAGTAAGAATGTCCTCCAGATTATTACAGATGTGTAGTTATCTTAGTCATTGTTTTAACACTTTTGGCACTAGTTATATACTACTTCCAAAGGGAAGACACTTCATTTAAAAAGTTTTAATTGTCAAATATTCTTTCTTAAAGTAAGCTGAAATAATTTTCCTCATATCTTTCACCAATTGAACACTAAACTATAAAAACATGCAGCCATATGGTATGAAATTGATAAAATTTTGTCCAAGATTAAAAATATTAAAAAGAACAGCTACAGTACCAATAAATCAATTGTTTTGATGAAAAGAGTAATACTCATATCTGTATAGTGTGTAATGGTTTACAAAACACTTTCCTCATAATAATTCTGAGTGAGTTACATAGGATTTGCTAGGACAAAGGTCCACATTATATCTCTCTACATTCTACATCGAGTTCTGCACTTTAAATAAATAAATGTTTTCTCAATAGTAATACAGATAACCTAGATATGTAGAAATGAAATAAAATGGAAAACACAGTTCAGATAAATAAAGGCCTCTGAGTGACATAGATACAACAATGTTTTTGTTTTGTTTTTAAACAAAGCTAGGCAGGTAAAGAGAAGGGAAAAAATGTAAACAAGGTGAGAAAGCTTGACAAAAACAGGAAGAAATAAAAAGAAAAGAACAATCCTATCCGTGGTCATGAGAAAACAGGAAATCTAACTTGTGATTCTAATAATACACGTGTTGCCATTTTTCCAAAGGTAAACAAGTGGCCTCTGACTATCTTCACTTAGGTATGTGGGGGTTTGGTGTAGACATCTGCTAATAGAATGGGCTGCTACACGTTGTATCCCAGGATTGAATCTATGTACCTCCTTTTATTGTGGAAGAGGTAGTATCAATCCAATGATCAACAGAAGCCTGAAGGACCTTCAAGATGCTCAAAAACTTCAAAGGCTAGGCAAGGGAAATGGACAAGTAGAGGCAGAGCCCCATGCCCCTCTGTTCTCTAAATATATGGTAACCTACTTTCAAACAAAAAAAAAATTTCCTGGAGAGCATTCATTCGACTGCTGACATTAGCCAAGCAGAAATTTGTCTAATTGTAATTTCCCTCTGGCCTCTGAAGTGTTACAAAATAAGTCTAACTCATCTTCTAAAGAACTTCAAATATTTGATGCCAAGAATTACTAAGTAGTCTAGTAAGGGTGGGATTGATTGAATTATTCAGCTGTTAGCTCACCCTACTGAGAAATTAAATGATAATTTATAGTACCTTACGTGAAAACAATCAATCAATTTATAAGCACTAGACTATGTGGGAAAAGTACTTTGAACTGGAGTGTCTTAACACAGGAAGGAGGATTTAGATCGATTGAAGAAACTTTGTCATGCCCTAGTGGTCCTATTAAATTTTCAATTGATTTGATAATGGAGTCATTAGAGAAGCTGGAGCAAGAGTAGTGCTATAATAAAACTCTGAAGTGAGTTTTACTATATCTGAATGGAAGAAGAAGCCTAGGCTTCAGCTTTGTCCTGTGTCTCCTCCCCATTTCTTCACCCACCCTTCTGACCAGGTGAAGAGCTTCAGAGGGTAAGAAGGATGTTGGACTTCCCATTTTCCCACTGGCATCCTAGCAGCCTCCCTAGATGAGCTGCCAGTAGTGTCTACACTGAGATCTGAGGCCAGATTGGACATCATTTCTTGGCCCCACAATGAACTGAGTAAAGAAACTATACACCATGACTAAAGAGAAACTCTCGAGCATCTCACACATGGGAGAAAAGGACTTCAAGAAACTAGGAGCTGTGAGCCACCTCTTTGCTATCAATGTTCTCTAAGCTTGATCTCATTTTCCCCTGGACTTTGTAAGCACTTGCGGGACCATCACAGATGCTTTATATCAACTGTTCTTATTATATCAACTTAGTAAATACCCCTAGAAATTATTCTCAACTGATAATCTTGAGGAGGGAAGCATGTAGATAGAGGCTTGAGCCAAGGTCTCCCCAGGGGTACCCCTAGAGCCCTGAAGGGATGTAGTCTTGCTCTGAGACCCAATACTTGTCTGTAAGACCAGGAATTATGATAAGGATCCTCAGAATTTATATTGGCTACATTTTTTACCAGATAAAGATCCCCAGTTCTTTCAACCATTCCCTCTATGCAATTTTGCATGCCCTCATATTCCAATTTCTGAACATCCCTCTTAAAATGGGAAGCCCAGAACTGAACACAAAACTTCAAGTATGTT